GTGCCCCCTGGGAACTGTCCTGCTGGGAAGGGACTGAGCTGGTGTGCAGGGGACAGGCGATGTCCCACGCCAGCCTCATCCCCCCAGAAAATCACTGCTTGGTGGATACGTGGCCGCTACGGGGAAAATAAAATAAAATTAAACCAAATCAAATAAATGAACGGGAAAAAAAATCAACTTTACACGGCGTAACGTTACGTTTTCTCTTCCTAGTGTCGTTCTGTACATCAAAACACTGCAAGGTTGGGTTTTTTTTAAAAAAAAAGGCAAAGGCACCTGAGAAGCGAGTCGTACGCGTCGACACACACGTGCTCACACGCACACGCTCGCACACGCTCACACACACGTGTGCACTCACACACACGAGCCGCATCCATCCATGGGAAGGTTTGGGTGGTCTGAGGGCCCTGGGAATGTTTTCGAACCTCGCTTTGCTCTCAAAGGGAAAAATCAAAACCAAACAGATTAAATGAAAGAGAAGAAAACACCTTAAAAATGGGTTTGTTTCTTTTTTTTTTTTAGCTTTGGTCAAAACACACTTTGTTTCCCTCCTCTGACAAAACCCTTGCAAGCCAACACTGATTTTTTTATTATTTTTTTTTCCATCCATCCCGTATTACTGAACAGACTGATGGATTTGGTCCTATTCACAGAATAAAATTCTTCATTCCCCCTTGGAGAAAGGAGACAGCTTTAACCCCCCTCCCCACGGAGAGCTGCCCATCGCTGCAAACCCACGGTGCTGCCCCAGCCTGGGCACGAACTGGCCTCAGCAGCTTTGTGTGGGCAAATCTGTAGGAAAATCTTTTAGCTACTTCTTTTAATTCGCCCTAACACGAGTAGTGCTTTATTTCTTCTTTTTTTTTTTTCAATGGAAATAACTCTCATTTTTGCTTCTCTTTTCAGAGCTGCGGACAAGGAAACGCTCCTGGTGTGAAGTCTTGATCCCTTCCTTGTGGCAAAATTCAAGGACGTGCGAAGTCCAATTTCTCATTTTCATCTCCAGTCCAAGCAACACTTTTCATTTTCAATTAAAAGCAACATGAAGATGCCAACCTCCTGGTAACTGCTTTTTTTAAGCCTTTGCTGAGCTGGGGCGGAAATGGCTAATGCGGCAGGGAAGGGGGAGGCGGGATGGTGCAATTAATTTGTCCAAAACCACCAAGAACTGATTAATTAGCTTCCAGGGACTCTGCATGCTCCCCCTGCCCGGGTTTTCCAGCAGGGTAGTGCTGGCCAAAGAGGCTGCAGCCCAGCTCTGCTTTCAACTGGCCCGTTTTCTCCAACAGCTTCAAATCCACAGCAGGAAAAAAAAAATAAATTTGCTTCCAGCTGCCCACGACTGGTGCAGCTCTGCTCTCCGGGTCTGAGGCTTCACCATCGTGGAGGTGACATCCCCATTCCCTGCACCCAGGGCTGGGGAGGAGAAGACACTCGGTCCCTGGCAGCTCAGATCCACAGGTGCCGGTCCCCTCTCCCTCGTTTTTGGCACCCGTTTGGGTTTTATGAAGACCCACCAGGCTCCCACTTCCAAAATGCAGTGACATCCCTTCAGCCCCGGCGTGGGCGCGGGTTGGCAGGGCTGCA